TGCACTGCTCAACAGCAGCAGCCTTCAGAAACGGATTTTTCTAGGTGCAGAGTTTTCTAAGCCTTTTCACCACACACAAAATAAAAGGGGAGAACATCCCCTGTTCTGTTCCTGTGCTGCCAGTAAAGGTAATGACTGATGGCCGAGCTGCAGGGAGACCTCCTGGGCCACAGTATCGACTGGCTACTGCTTAGAGCGCCCTCAAGGGTAGTAAAGAGTGGGGCGGGAGCTGCCCCACACATTTTAAACTGTCAATTTCTCCAGGTCAGGCTGCGTGCTTACGGAGGACTGCACAAAACAGACAGCAGTGTGGCAATTTCCCTTGACTTAGCACAAACTTCCCGGATGCTGGGCAATTCAAACTTTCTTCACCCAAGGGAGGGAGCAGTGTGCAGTGATGAATTAGGGTGAAAGAGTTAGATTAAAGGAACAATGTTGCCCAATTCAGCCCTTTCACCTTCTCCAACCTCGTTAGCATGGCCTGGCTGTAGGCCCTGATAATTTAGACCCAAGGAGATCTCTGCAGATGGAAAGTGAGCGGGGGATAGTGGGAAGGGAGACGTTAATTGCTGCCGGATGAAGACTGAACATGTGCCCTTGAGGGAAAGAGGCGAGCTGTTCTCTCCTCAGTGAGCATTCAGGTTCACATCCAAGCTCTGACACTTACTAGCTGTGTGGTCTTCAGCAAGTTTCACCTCAGTACCTCAGTTTCTTCATTTGCATAGTGAGAATGGTAACAGCAGGAAGCTTGGAAGGGAGCTGGGTGGCTTAATAAATACCAGCAAAGCACTTTGTAAGCAGCAGCTGCTGCCCCAGGAATCCACCTCACAATCCGAAATCCTCTCACTCACAGCCACAGTGGCAGGGGCTGGCCAGGTCCCCTCTTGGCTGTCCCCTGCTTTTCTGGTTGGCCTGATACAGTCATTAACTCTCTGATCAGGAAGGATCATTCATTCATTCATTCATTCAAGGAATGAGCACCTGCTGTGCATCTGAGGCACTGGGAGACAACAGTGAAGGAGGCAGGCCGGACCCTGCCCCCATAACGGGGCTCTGTGCTGGATGTCTGTGTGCTCCTGTGATTATAAAACCCAGGGGCCCACAGGAAGGAAAGCTCCTGCCTGCAGCGACAGAGCTGGCCAGTGAGGGCCAGGCACACGTAGCCTGTTCATCACCCTTGTATTTCCAACCTCACTGGCACAGGGTAGGTGCCCAATCAATACTTGCTGAATTGATGAAAAAATGAATTAATAATGCCCAACGGAGTGCTCTTTCATGACTTCCATGGAAATAATTGGAAAGTGAGGATTTGTGTGGACTGAGGATTAGTGCTTCCTGCCGTGTGGCCCCAATTCAATTCTCCCTCTGCAAAGGGTGGACTGAGAGAGCTGGAGGGGGTTTTATTCCTGCTCTCAGGCTACTGCATCTGCAGCCAAAGTAATACAACAACGTCAATCAGGAATCTGATTATGTCCAGATACTCACATAAACACTCACGCCCACAGATCTTCTCAGGTACACAGTCCTGAAGTCTAAAGGAAACCAGACCTGGGGGAGAAGTTTTTATTTTTTTAAAGAAAAAATAACTCCTAGTCACTGGTAGCATTTTATTCAGAATTCAACAAATTATATGCCTCATTTTTGTAAGGGTTGGGACGAGAATCCAAATGGAGGCTGTGGTGGACACAATAATGGCCCTGTGAAGACATCCACCTCCTCATCCCTGTGCCTGTATGTCACCTTGCATGGCGGGGGTCATGGCGGATGCAGATAGGATTGAGGTTGCCAGTCAGCCAACTTTAAAGTGGGCAGATGGCCCTGGGCCATCTGGGTAGGCCTGTGGAATCCCCTGGGTCTTGATAAATGACATAGGGAGGCACAAGAGAGACAACAGAGGTGGCAGTCTGAGAAAGACTCGGCCTGACACTGCTGGCTTTGAAGACTCAGGAAGGGGTCATGAGCCAAAGAATGGATTCAGCTCTAGACACTGGAAAAGGCAAAGAAACAGGCTTCCCCCAGGACCCCAGAAGGAACGCCGCTCTGCCAACACCCGGATTCAGCCTAGGGAGACTCATTTTGGATTTCTGACCTCCAGAAATGTAAGATGATAAAGGTGTGTTTGAAGGTGCTAAGTTTCGGTCATTTGTTCCAGTGGCAACAGGAAACTAATATTGAGGTCCACTTACCATGTCTGCATACTTAAAGTTACAAATCAAGTCAATTACTTAGTAAATATAACATGTTCTACATTAACAGATATATCTTCTTAACCATTTGGGCTTGCAGATTTTCACCCTCCTGGGAGGTCCGCATCAGAACCTGGCAGTGTAGAGAAAGCAGACCCTAACTCCTACCCCTGCCCCGGACCTGACTCCCTTTCTCTTCCTTCTACTTCCTGCCCGTTTCTGGAGAGGCACATGCCTGTGGGCACCGCAGCCTTGCTGCCCAGGCCCCTCCAGGGCTCCTGCAAGCAGCTGCTTCATTTGCATCATGAGATGTCCTCAACAGCACCTTCAAGGGTGCAGATCTTTTTGCTGCTGTGAGAGGGGCTTACGCGGAATGATTCTGTCAGTCTAGACATGTTTCACACAGAGGAGAACTCTGGACGAGGACAGGAGTGGTGGCAGGAATGCAATCTATTACAACAAGTTTTCTGACCTAGTTATGCCCCAGGGATATAGAATCATGTACCTTTGTGTGCAAGGAATCCTTTCTACAAAACCCCTAAGAAATAGCCATTCTACCTGTTCTTGAATACTCCTTCCACAGGAGGCTCACTACTTTACATGGCCATCTCTTTACTGGTGAGACCAGCCCTGCTTTCTTCCCACTTCCATGGATCGGTTTTGACCTTGGCCTCTGCATTTCCTTTTCCCAAGGTTGATTTGGTTTCCAAGCCCTCTCATGCATTGGAACTGTAGGATGTTCACTGACTGTGTAATAAACAGCAGGTTGCGATTCAGTAGGGTTGCCTCTTTCAGTAGTCACTTCAGGGCCAGGAGGAATGAGGCATTTTTATGTGGCAACAAAATCCAGCTGCCCATACTCATCACCCAGCTGTGCCTAGGTGGTGAGCCACCCTTGGGTCTGGACAAGAGGGGCGCCTACCATGCAACCCCTGCTTTAGACCCCTTCTGACCCTGCACTAGCTGAGCCCCTCCCCACAGGATGAGGGTAGGGAAAGGGCCAAGGTGGGTTTGCCCACCCAGAGCCCACTGCCTCCTGTCTAGACCAGGCTCTGGGTACCAGGACCCCAGAATCCCCTATCCAAATAGGCCTGGGGTTGATTCCAGGGCCTGCCAGGCCTGTTTTCCGGGATTGTCTTCAATCTCAGAATTCCAGAAGGCACAGGATTCTACATCCCTGAAACATAACCACATCTGAAAACTTGTTCTAACAGATTGAGTTTCTGCCTCCATTCTTGTTCCCTGCCCTGAGTTCTCCTCCATGTGAAACATGCCTAGACTGAAAACATCATTCTGCATAAGCCCCTCTCACAGCAGCAAAAAGGTCTCCACTCTAGAAGGTGCTGTTGAGGACATCTCATGACTCAAATGGGACGATGTCTTCTCCAGATTTTCTTGGCAGAAATGGAAAACTCCTGAGTGTAGTGACCAGGTGTCTCGAGAGTCCTGTGCGGTCCCCAGAGCCAGACAGGGCAGGGTGGAGCTAGAAGGCCTTTCCCGGAGACACTCATTCTGCCTGCAGAATGAGGCCCATCTCTCCTCAGCCTGGCGTGAAGACCCAGGGTCAGGGTGGATCCTGGATGGTTCTGTCCAGAGCCCTATGCAGACAAGAAAACTGAAGCCCAGAACAGGACAGGGACTTGAACAAAGTCAAATAATTAGTGCCATCATTTCTAGGAACAAGACCAGATTCCTTTCCAGGACCCCTGGGCCCCTGAGGATCTGGCCCTGGTGATCTCTCCAGTTTCACAAAGGCTCCCAGCTATGTGGCTGTTTCTCCGATCTCCGAAAGGACTGCTTACTCAGCCCCTGGGGTCTTTGCAACGCTGTCTCCTTTGCAAGGCACTGGGGAATGGGATTGACCAAGGGCCTCACAGCTCATCCGAGGCCAAGCTGGGATTTGACTCCAGGGTGCACTCTTAGGCACTGCACAGGACAGTGGGCGAGGGTGCTCCTTAAAGGTTTGAGATGGACAGAAGCTTGAGAACAACCTTGGCTGGAGCGCTGAGTAGTGGCTTCCTCTTGCTGGATAGAGTAGCAGCTATGCTTATCGTACTGAGCAGCAGTCAACAATTGTTCATTCTTTCAGATTGCATTTTCTTTCAGGAGCCAAGCCCTGTGATGGTTCCTGGAGTGGGCTCCAGGGCTGCAGATACCTCTTGCCTCCTTGATTTCTCAGTCTCCCCCCTGAATCCCTGGCTGAGAAAGAAGCACCACTGATCACCTGCCACACACCGAGGTAGAATGTGCACACAGATACAAACCCTGCAGGTGGGTACACGGACGCCAGAGGCTCACAAACGGCCTCTCCTCACCCCTTCCCAACACCGGAGGTACACAGGCTCTGAGGTGTCTGTGCCCTCAGGGGGCTCATTTGTTCCACACTCCCTGGAGCTAGCCCTGTTATCTGAATCACAAAGCCTCTTTACAAAGCACCGAGTTCTCACTGCTTCCTACTAGTTCGATTTTAGAAAGATCTGTGTGCGATTGTGCAAACGTGGATGCATGAAAGGGGCTTTGCGTTCTGATACCAACCCTGCCAGTGCAGAGGCCCTGCTGGCCTGGGAGGGCATCTGGAGGAACATCAACGCAAATTGAAAATAGAGTTTAGTTCTAGGAACTAAAAGGAGCCATGTTTCTTGCACACCTGAGGGTGCAGACTAAAATTCATGTCTGTCACCCATGGTCACGTCTGATCACTGGCAAAGAGGGGGATGACAGACGGAGGGAGAGAAGCAAGAACAGAGAGCACAGAAATGAGGAGCTCAGACGGGGCAGTGGGAACCAGGGCACTGAGCCAGAGGGAGAGAATACCTGTGAGCCAGCAGCCCCGCCTGACTCCTGGGTTCTCCATGCTGTCCAGGGTGGGAGCTTCATCCAAGGACAAACCCTCCATTTTTCCATTGCCTTACAGCTTACAGACTTGTACATCACTATAACGTTTAACCCTCAACTCTCCCTGGAGGTAGGGACTGTAAGTTTCTACACTTCAGAGATAAGCGGGTGAGGTTCAAGGTTCCATCACGAATCTGGGATAGGGGCATGACATGAACTCCAGGTCGCTGTGTTCTAATTCTGTCAAGAGGGATCACATGTCATACTTGCCTGGCTTCTACTCTGTTACTCAGCCACGAAAGAAGCTCCATTTGTGGTCTCAGCACCCTCATGCTCCTGGAAACCTTCTGACGCTCTCCTGGGAGGGAGTCAGGCAAGAGCTCTCCCCTGGGAATCCATTTCCTTCAGTTCCATGTTTCCTGTAAGTTGTTGTGTGGCCTCGGGAGGTCCCCTCCCTCAGCACCCTCAGTTTTGTGATGTGTGAAATAACTGAGACCCGCTCTGGGATCTGGGCACCCCCACTGTGTATTTGTGGTTTAAATGGCCTTATCGCACTTTTCTGTTTAGCTATCAGGGCCAATGTGCATTGGTTTGCTCAGGCTGATATCACAAGGTGCAGCAGACCGGGCAGCTTAAACGAAAATTCATATCCTCCCAGTTCAGGAGCTTGGAAGTCTGAGATGAAGGTGTCAGCAGGCTGGTTTCCCCTGAGGCCTCTCTCCTTGGCTTGCAGACGGCAGCCTTCCTTCTGAGTCTTCACATGGTCTTACCTCTGTGTGTGTTTATGTCTTATTCTCTTCTCACAAAGATACCAGTCATATTGGATGAGGGCTTACCCTAACGACATCCCTTTAATATAATTACCCCTTTAAAGGCCCTATCTCCAAATACAGTCCCACTCCAAGGTCCCATGGGTTAGGCCTTCAGCATGTGAGTTTGGGGAAGACAGAACTCAGCCCGTAGCTTGAGGATGGCCGCCTGTGGATAGCCAGCCATACCCTGGTTGTATGAAGGAAGGGATGGGCCACTCCTCCAGGCTCTAAGCCCCCTCCAGGCTGCCAGCCCATTTCTTCTCAGCAGCCTGCCCCAGGCCCGCAAGAAAGGAGCCCACCTGGTGTCCTATGACTGAATTGTGGGCTGGCACTGCCAAGCCTGGGGAGGGCAACGACGCTGGAAGCCTTAGGGACTTGCCAGGCCTGCTCCTTTAGGTTCGACCTGGGAGTAGGGAGGCTGAGGGGTCCTCAGGCTGCCGCAGGCTTCACAGCGGCCTGCCATTGCCCCCAAGGCTGGCGAGGATGAGCCCCACAAAGTGGTCAGGGTGGACTCCGCCTTCTGCCCAGCAGGCATCTAGCCTCCTACTTGTGGAGCGGCAGCGCAGCACCAGGTGGGCGGATGCTGAGCTCTGCGCCCCGCCCCTCCCCGCCCCCCACATAGTGCCAGGATCTCCTGATACACTGCAGGAGCGAGCTGCAGTGGCCCGTGCCCAGGGGACCTGCCTGGAAGGCAGCCCAGCCTGGGGCCCTTGTCCCTCACTGGTGCCTACCTGCCAGGTGGCCTGCCGAGCTTCATAAATGCTGCAATTTGTGAAATTAAAGTCTCTTTCCTGCTTGCATCTGGCCGCATGGGGTCCGGGAGCCGGGCATGGGAGGTGAACGTTGAAAGCTTCTGATTGGTTCCTGAGCCCCCACAGCAGCCCTAACCCCACCAGCTTCTCAGGGTTTATTAAGTGGATATAGTAGCCCTGATTCCCAGCTGTTCAGTCTTCCCAGGCAAGTGAGCACAACTGATTTTTTTCTCCTGTGAATCTGTCCATTGTCAGTTAATTTGCAGCCCTCCACCCCACGACTAGGATCTAGGTTGATACAGAGGGAATATTTTCTTCCCAATAGACTCTTAGAAGCAAAAACTCACAGAAGCCAGGTGAAGAGTGCTGAGAAATGGTGAAAGGCACCCGAGGGGTCTAGGTGGCGTATTGACAGGCCCACATGCAGTGTCCAAGGACAGGGAAGTATGATAGGGAGGATTCCAGCACACGATGTGGTGCAGGGTGCTCTGGATGCTGGGCACTCCTTGGAGGGGGGATGGGGCATCAGGGAGGGCTTCCTGAAGGAAGAAACATGTAGAAGTCAGATACACGGAGTGTTCTAGACCAAGGGAGGAGGCTGAACAATGGCTTGGGGGTAAGAAAAAGTACAGGTTGACTTTACAACGTAGTGTAGCTCCCCCTCCCTTGCCCCACCCTGCCCTGCCCCAAGACAGGGGAAGGCTAAGGGGTTGTGGTGAGGCTGGTGGGGTGGGCAAGTGGCCTGAGGCCTTGGCAGCCAGGAAGGAGAGGAGCTTGGGTTTCATGCTGGGGCCGAGGGCAGTCTTGCAAAGGCTTTAAGCCGGGCAGGTCTTTGGCAATTTTAAACATTTTATTTTAGAAAGTTCCCTCCAATGAGGAATTGATTTCAGGGGAGTGGCAAGGAGGCTAGGGCTGCCTCTGGGCCAGCTCCTCAGCCTGGGCCAGGAGACCCTCTCAGCCCTCCAGTGTGGCCTGCTGTCCCCACATAAGGTACTTTCAAGCCCAGAGTGGGCCCTGCTCTGAGCTCAAGCCAGAGTTTGAACACTAGAGCCCCGTCTACAGCAACCCAAGGGGCTGTCGGGAAAAGCTCAGCGCTGGCCTGGGGTCAAGGCTGAGGGAGAAGGGGGCGACAGCCTGTGTGGGAAGAAGCTGCTAACAATGGGGGGAGGTTCGGGGCTTAAGTAACATCTGGACGGACGGAGATAGCCAAATTCCACCAGGGTCAGAGAGCCTTCCAGAGCCTGTTGATGAAGCAGTCCTCCAAGCCTTGAGCCTCTGCATGCGTTTCTGGAAATACCAAGGCTGGTGCCCGGAAGGACAGTGGGGAGCAGGCAGGGGGTCTGCGGAGGGACAGAGGGTATGAAATCAGGTGTGAAATTGGGTGACTGGCCTCAGAGCTAAATCTGGGGAAGGAGCTTTTCTTGGTGGCCCCAGGTTTGTTGGGTCATGTGCTGATGGCTCGGGGCTGAGGGACACAGGAGATCACCACTGTGCTGCTCTGAAGGCTGAGCAAAGGCCCAGAAGTAGGGGAGACCTGGGATGATTTGAGATCTTCTTGCAGTTCCATCTGAGAGAGCAAAGAGGTCAGAGGAAGCATGGCGGACTGGAGGATCGCCTTTCTCTGTGGACCCTGTCCAGAGTGGCTGCTCAGGGCTCAAGTCCCGCTTTGAAGGGGAGGGTCCATTCTGCTCCGGCCAGTGGGCCAGTGGAGCTCCTGTCGCTGAGCCTGCTGAGGGAGATGCCTGTGCTGCACGGGATTTCAAGCCCTTGCTCATGGACCTAACAGCCCTGGTTCAAATCTTGGCTCTGCTCGCTTGGGAAGGTTGCATCCTGTCTCTTGGCTCATCTCTGGGTCTCTCAAGTGGGGGCGAGCTCAGATTTGACGGTTCATTTTGTGGATCTTACAAGTCAATACACATTTGTGGCCGTGGGTGGCAGGCACGCAGACGGCCATGGATGTGACAGAGTTCTGGACACACAGTCCCAGATCTGCCACCTTGGCATTTGAGAAAAGCGCAACAGCGGGAAGGTCACTCTCTGACCTTCTCCTGCCCTTCTCCCCTGAAGCAGGCCATAAAAGAAATTCCTGACCTTCTCCTCAAGTGGGGCATGAGACCTTCCTTTAAGAGGTGCCTTCCCGGATGGGCGCGGTGGCTCACACCTATAATCCCAGCACTTTGGGAAGCCGAGGCAGGTGGATCACAAGGTCAAGAGATTGAGACCATCCTGGTCAACATGGTGAAACTCTGTCTCTACTAAAAATACAAAAATAAGCTGGGCATGGTGGCACATGCCTGTAGCCTCAGGTACTCGGGGGGCTGAGGCAGGAGAATTGCTTGAACCCAGGAGGCGGAGGTTGAGGTGAGCCGAGATCGTGCCACTGCACTCCAGTGTGGGTAACAAGAGTGAAACCCCGTCTCAAAAAAAAAAAAAAAAAAAAAAAAAAAAAGAGGACCCACAGGGAAGGAAAATCCTTCTCCATGAAGTTGCAGGGATGCAGAGAAGAATCTGAACAAACAGGCCTTCTAAATGCCACCTAGATCATCACATCAAATCATACCGCCTCGTCCAGTTATACTTCTCCAGTTACCTGCTTCTTCATCAGACAGCAAAAAAATCACACAGATTTCCCTGTTTCTTTGGGTCTTCATTTCTAAAGGCTGCCATGTCACACAAAACTTAAATTACTTGGTACGCTTTTCTCTTGTGAGTCTGTCTTTTGTTACAGGTGCCTCAGCCATGAACCTACTGATGGATGAGGGAAGAAATATTTTCCCCTAGCTGCACTTTTAAAACCAGCTTATGGGGCTGTTGTGGGACCTGGAAACAACGGCCTTGAGAAGGCTTGCATGCTCCAAAGACCTGAGCATATATTGCTATTCTAGGTTTAGACTGGGCCTCTGACCAAGAATGGGCCCCCCGTCAGGAAGTCTGAGCTGAAACACTACAGAAAGCAGAAAACGGGAACACACACAGGCACGCACGCACGCATGCACACGTGCTTCAGCACCGGGCAACTTGTTGAAATGCAGTTTCTCTGGCCTCATCTAAGATTTACTGAGGTCAACTCTGGGGGCGGAGCCAGCGGCTCTTGAGGTTTTCGTGAGCTCTCCTAGGGATTCCAGTGCTGACCCAAGATTGAGAACCACTGAGCCGGACGGGTGGATCTTCCTAGTTCTGGCCTCAGTCTTGGCAGCTGTGCCCTCTGACCCAGCAAGAGGCCTGTCATTCCTCTAAAGCTGTCCCTGAGACCTTTCTGCTCACCAGGCCTAGCAGAAACAGGCCCTGCAGGGCAGCCTTCTGACTGCCTAATATTGTGGGCATCCTTTTCCCAGCGTCTACAGTCTCTCCTGCACATGAATAACCTTGAATAGCCAGAATTTACATAATAGCTCTCCTGCCCCCTTCATGGGCCTACATTAATTGTTTTAGAATACTATTTCCCCATCTCATTGCCTAGAGTGGTAGCTATTTGATTCCATGGACCTCAGAACCCCCTGGAGAGCTTGTGGAAAGGTAGACACTCAACCCCACACCTTCTCGGCTCCACAGTCCTGTAGGGTGGCTTGAAGATGCATGTGTACTTGACAAAAGATTGGGATGAGGGCAGGGGCTTGGTCAATGAATGGCTATGGGGGTAGTGGGCAGGCATGGGGGTGTCCGATGGAGATCAAGGGAGC